GAATACTTTTCAAGATAATCAGCGGAAACCATTTTGACATAAAAGGCCCCTGTGACCTTGACCTAGTGACCCCAAAATCAATAGGGGTCATCTACTAGATATGACCAATCACTATGTGAAATATGAAGACTTTGTGATGAATACTTTTCAAGATAATCAGCAGAAACCATTTTGACATTTAAGGCCCCTGTGACCTTGACCTTTGACCTAGTGACCCCAAAATCAATAGGGGTCATCTACTAGTTATGACCAATCACTATGTGAAATATGAAGACTTTGTGATGAATACTTTTCAAGATAATCAGCGGAAACCATTTTGACATTTAAAGCCCCTGTGACTTTGACCTTTGACCTAGTGACCCCAAAATCAATAGGGGTCATCTACTAGTTATGACCAATCACTATGTGAAATATGAAGACTTTGTGATGAATACTTTTCAAGATAATAAACGGAAACCATTTTGACATTTAAGGCTCCTGTGACCTTGACCTTTGACCTAGTAACCCCAAAATCAAAAGGGGTCATCTACTAGTTATGACCAATCACTATGTGAAATATGAAGACTTTGTGATAAATACTTTTCAAGATAATCAGCGGAAACCATGTGGTCTACCTTCGTATAGTCGAGATAAAAACTGCTACAACTAGAAATGTGTCGTCATGCCACGAATGCACCCGCATGCAGCCAAAATTTCAGATGTTAATAGTATTTAGTTCCAAACTTGTTTGCACAAACTATTTTTTTCATATTACGTTCAAAGTCCTTAAAGCTATTCAATGTTAACACAAACCATTTTGATACTCAGTTCAAGTCACTGAAACTATTCAGCGTTAACCTTTTGTAAATTGCATATTTCATATTTGTAACCAAAATAATCACTACATACATTTCCACAAAAGTATGAGTGCTAAAACTGAAAATTCAAAATTTTTCCAACATTCAAGAGAGATAACTTTGTCCGAAATCATTGAACCACGCCAAATACAAACTTGAACTGCTTATTCCTAAGATGTATCTATATGTCAAATTTGAGCTGAATGTGTACAACCATTGGGGAGATAATGAACAGAAACTAAAAATTTCTGATCTTTTTCAAAGTTGAAGAGGGATAACTCTGTCAGCTATCATCAAACCATGAGCAAATTCGAACTTTACCAGTGTATTCTTATGTTAGATTTGAGTTGAATATTAACAACTGTTGGAGAGATAATGAAGGGAAACTGATTTAATTTTTTTCAAACTTAAAGGGGCATTACTCTTCCAAAAATCATCAAACCATGACCAAATTTAAACTTGACCTGCGCATTTCTTTGATGTATCCATATGTCAAATTTGAGTCGAATATGTAATACCTTTGGGGCGATAATATACGGAAACTGAAAATTTCATATTATTTTCAAAGTGAAAGGGACATAACTCTTCCAAAAATCATCAAACCATGACCAAATTTAAACTTGACCTGCGCATTTATGAATGGAAACTGATGATGATTGAATGACAGGACAGAATGACGGAAGGACGGAACAGGGTCACATTTCCTACCACTGATCATTAATGTCAAAAATTTAACTAAATTGGTAAATAGGAACTGGAAGAACGACAGACCTGAAATTCAGTACCACAATATTGAACCACATGTTAATACTGTATATCAAATATCAAGAGGCTGTGATAAGAAGTTGCTGAGAAAACTGTTACTAAAATTTCCTACCACTGATCATTAATGTCAAAAATTTAACTAAGTCTGTAAACAGAAAGTGGATGAGCGACAGTCCTGAAATCAAATCCCATGGTATGGGACCGTGTGTTAATTCTTTATACTAAATATCAAGAGGCTTTGGTAAGACGTTGCTGAGCAAACTGTTACGAAAATTTCCTACCATTTACCATTAATGTTGAAAATTTAACTAAAACGGTAAACAGGTGAGAATGAGCGACAGACCTGAAATCGTTACCCACGGAATGTGACCATGTTGTGAGGACCTGATCGTGAGTAAAACTAGGCGTTGTGTACGTTTCCATTCCTTTATTCAAACTGAATGTTTACATACATAGGAAATGACGTTACGTTAATAACATAAATAAACAATTCGCGCAAAAGCGACGTTACGTGACGTCGTGCACAATCTACAACAAATGTGTTTATGCTGTATACCAAATATCAAGAGGCTGTGATAAGTAGTTGCTGAGAAAACTGTTATGAAAATTTTCCACCACTCACAATTAATGTTGAAAATTTAAGTAAGTCAGTAAACAGGAAGTGGATGAGCAACAAACCTGAAAAGGAATCCCACAGTATAGAACCATATAATGATGCTGTGTACCAAATACCAAGAAGCTGCGATAAGTGATTGCTGAGAAAACTGTTACAAAAATATTTCCCCGCCTACCCATACATCCACCTGCCAGCCGCCCCACATTCACCATTTTATAACCCAGGTTTGCACCTGTGCAACATGGCCAAAAATTACATGATGCAAACAATTGCACTTGAAGAGTTAAATCTACAAATTAAACTTTACAAATGTTTCTTCTTTTTAAGTAGAACTTGTGAAGTTGTCATGTGATATGTCAGCCAACAATTATTTTTGCCTGACTTCAGCGGGAAAATATGGCGGTCACAAATTGCGTGGAATATTTGTGTAAATACATCCACCCAACAGTCTCAGTTTTCATAGGTGTATAAGCTGAGCATTTTTTAAGTAATTATAATGTGGTTTCTTAAAATAAATAATTTGTGTCAGATTTTGTGCAGAAAATAACTATAGCAATTCATCTGTTTGGCATTATTCAGTGACGTAATACACGCAGGTGCTTGTTGAATTTTACAAGCATTTAAGGTTATCAGCCGCTATATTTTTCCGATCATTTTTGCCGATTTCATTCATTTCCTATCGGCATAAAATGTTTCTACTTGTATGCATGGACTTTGAAAAATTTGCAATTTTGCCGATTTCGTTCATTTCCTATCGTCATTAAATGTGGATACTTGCACGCACAGACTTTGAACAATTTGCGTACTAGTTGTGTTTCCTGCATGAAAAGCGCTAATTTGTGCGTGACTGGGCATGCTGACTGAATACCATGCAAGATACCGGTATCTTCCTAACAAATATGAAAGACATATGTCAATAAATAAAGGCTGTATGGGCAAAAGTGTAAAAATCTATTTTTAGCACTGGTGACCTTGACCCAACTCACCCGTCATGCCAACCAAAGGTAGAAGACTTCTCAAATTTATGTTCTTACCAAATATAAAGAACATTTGTCAATGGAACAAGGTCACACCTGTAAAAGTCTAAAAATCTATTTTTGGCATGGTGACCTAAACACAAATGACCCCTTATATTACCCAAAGGAAAAGGACCTCCCGAGGCATGCCCATATTAAACATGAAAGAAATTAATTTAAAAAGTAATGGCTGTAGGAGCAAATATGATAAAATTTATTTTTTACACCAATGACCCGACCCCAGTGACCCCTTACTCTTCAAAATGTTAGAGGACCATTTAAGGTATCCACCTACCAAATATGTAAGATATCATCAAATGAATAGAGTAATTAGCAGAAATTTAAGATAAATCCAACTTGCTGGAATAGGTTAACCATACAAAGCCTAATTTTCAAAGTGATAAAAAGGGCAATAACTTAGACAAAATGGAAGTCATAGTTATGTAACTTGCCCAGATCATGTTCTTTGTTTTGATTAGTAAGTGTGTAAATTATGAAGCCACTGGTACAGGTAGAACGTAAGATAAATGCAACTTGCCGTTTTATGATAACCTCGTTCAGACAGACGGCTGAATAACTATATGCCAAGGGGCATAACAAGAGCTGTCACAGGAGACAGCCAAGCTCGACTAATAAAATACTGGACGCAGTAAGGAGGACAAAACTATGAAAGAAAAATCAATTATGTATTAATATGAATTAAGTTATAGTAAAAAAATAACATTTGTTAACATAAATTCCAAGATCAAGGGAAATAATTCTAGAAATAGTCATGCTAGAGTTATGAACATTGTCACACAACATGTGTGTTATGATAAGAAATATATATTTGAAGTTTGAAGTAGATACCTTAAAAAGTAAAGAAGTTATAATATTTCTTAAAGAAAATCCTAAGTTCAAAGAGAGATAAATCTGTGAAAATTGCTTCAAGAGTTATAAACATTGTCACATAAAATGTAATTGATGATAAGGAATAAGTATTTGAAGTTTGAAGTAGATACCTTTAAAACTAAAAAAGTTATAGCAAAAAATAACATTTTTCTAGTAAAAAAATCTAAGTTTATGGGGAGATAATACTTGCAATATTGGTGCTAGAGTTATGAACCTTGTCACATAAGATATGGATGATGATAAGGTACATATACCCTTTAGAAATAAAAATAAGTTACAGTAAAAAATAATATTTTTTAAGGAAAATTCTAAGTTCAAGGGGAGATAAATCTGAAATTATTTGTGCTAGAGTTACGAACCTTGTCACATAAGATGGGGATGATGATAAGGTACATATATTTGAACTATGAGGGTGATCCCTTAAGAAATAAAGAAGTTACAGTAAAAAAATTTATTTTTTAAGGAAAATTCTAAGTTCAAGGGGAGATAAATCTTAAAAATATTGGTGCTAGAGTTATGAACCTTGTCACATAAGATGTGGTTGATGATAAGGAACATATATTTGAAGTTTGAAGTTGATACCTTAAGAAATGACAAAGTTATAGTGAAAAATATTTTACTGCACCAAAACTTTAATCTAAAATCTGGACGCGGACGCCGACGCCGGGGCGAGTAGGACAGCTCTCCATATACTTCGTATAGTCGAGCTAAAAAGCATACGAGATTTATCTACATAAAAGTATTAACATGCTGAAAATATGAAAATCACTCAAACTGATGTTAAAGTCACCAGTTATTTAACATAAAACTTTCCTTTAATCTACATGGATAAGAATATTACATGTTATTTAATACAGGCGAATGTTATACTGTTACCTGTACAATGCGTAGTAATCATTTTCTGCATCCCTTAGTAATCGTTTCAATGTGTTCATTGTTTGAATAAACTGCAACAAAACAAACAAGAGCCGGTTGAACCAGGTGATGCTCCCCGAATAGGTTTTGGACACAGGAAGGTATACCTCTTGTAGTGTCAGAGTTATGTCACAGACAAAGTTCAAAGTGTAAAAACAACCCAAATGTTGCCCGTGACACATTGTCTCAATATGTTGATAATTTCTGTGAAATAGTTGTAAAATCCGACTTCAAATAAAAAAGTAATGGCCTGGACACCATTTTCCTGCAAGGTCATGCTGTGACCTTGACCTGCAAGGTAGCCCCCCAAATGTTGCGCGCAACACATCGTCTCAATATAATGATCATTTCTGTGAAATAGTTTTAAAATCCGACTTCAAATAATGAAGTTATGGACCGGACACGATTTTGCTGCAAGATCATGCCGCGACCTTGACCTTCAAGGTAGCGACCCAAATGTTGCGCCAGACAAATCGTCTCAATATTGTGATCAATTCTGTGAAATAGTTGTAAAATCTGACTTCAAATACAGAAGTTATGGACTTGATACAATTTTGCTGCAAGGTCATGCTGTGACCTTGACCTTCAAGGTAGCGACCCAAATGTTGTGTATGTCACGTCCTCTCAATATGGTGATCATTTCTGTAAAATAGTTTTAAAATCAGGCTTCAAATAATGAAGTTATGGACCGGAAACGATTTTGCTGCAAGGTCATGCTGTGACCTTGACCTTCAAGGTAGCGACCCAAATGTTGCGCGCGACACGTCGTATCAATATGTTGATCATTTCTGTGAAATAGTTTTAAAATCCGACTTCAAATATTGAAGTCATGGACGGGGCACGAATTTGCTGCAAGGTCATGCTGTGACCTTGACCTTCAAAGTAGCGACCCAAATGTTGCGCGCGACTCGTCGTCTCCATATGGTGATCATTTCTGTGAAATAGTTTTAAAATCCGACTTCAAATAACAAAGTTATGGGCCAGACACGAATATGGGACGTACAGACAGACGGACAACCCAACGACTATATGCTCCCCCGAAATTTTTCGGGGAGCATAATAATATACATGGGTATATAGGTACTACCTTTGTTTTAAAAAACTGCAACAAAACAAACAGTTTACATGGTTATACAGGTCCTGACTTTGTTTGGAAAAAAAAAACTGCAGCAAAACAAACAGTTTACAACTTTATATAGGTTCTTTGTTTGAATAAATTGCAACGAAACAAAAAGTTTATATGATTATACAGGTACTGACTTTGTTTGAATAAACTGCACACAAAAAATAGTATCCATGGTATATGGTAATTTTAACTTTGTTTGAATAAACCAAACTTTCTGAGACAAAATTAGAGCAGGCTTCAATGTTTTACAAAGAATTATTTCCAAGCTTTCATCTTTTCAAGCAATGTTTTAGTCATACAAATAATATTTTTATACAAAATAAAAACTGAATCACTAAATTCATGAATGACTTTATTAGATATATAAAAACAGAAGAGTTATCTTTGCTATGAGCTCATGAATTACACAACAAAATTTCTTTTACATGACCCTTTGATGCAAATTGAGTTAAATAATGATTCTAGTTCAAAAATACATATCTTACCTTTAGTTTAAATGCTTCAATGACTTGTTTTTGTCTGACTGGTTGGTCCTGAAATTCAGGTCTATTAATTGTATTGGCCCATTCTTCACAGAATTTGTTACAACCTGAAAATACACATGACCATTTCAAACATTTTTTGTCACAACATAGAGGCCAATCCACAGACTATTTCTTCTTTTAACAGGAGGGCCATGAATTGGCCCTGAAATCGCTGACCTGAATACAGAAACTCTCCATGACAAGGAACAAGTAATAATGTAAACTATAAATAATTTCAGATATAACAAGAACTGTCGGAGGACAGTAACACTCGACTATTTGAAAAGTTGTCACAAGTGTGTTTCATTGAGTATAATAATGCTTTCCTATATGAATACATAAAGTTGTCCGAAAAGGTAAAAAGGCTTGTTATTAAGATGTTTTATCGAGTTAATCACTGCTTTATTATTATGAATGCATAAAATTGTTCCAAAAAAGGCACAATCCTTTCAGTAGTTATGGAGATACCAGCTTACAAGCAAAAACTTAACCAAGAATATTTAAGTCGAAAAAGGAACATAAATATGCAAAAAAGCAAATCCGAGTTATGGGACTTATGCCAAGTATCTTAAATAATCACAGAGGACAAGTGTGTGAAGTTTCAATCCATTCCCTTCAGTAGTTATGGAGATACCAGCTTACAAGCAAAAACTTAACCTAGAATTTCGAAAAAGGGGCATAATTATGCAAAAAAGCGAATCAGAGTTATGGGACTTGTGCAAATCATGTAAGATTATCATTGAGAACAAGTGTGTGACGTTTCAATCCATTCCCTTCAGTAGTTATGGAGATACATTATGTACCAGCTTGCACGCAAAAACCTTACCAAGAATTTCTAAGTCGAAAAAGGGGCATAATTATGCATAAAAGCAAATGAGAGTTATGGGACTTGTGCCAATCTCTTAGATAATCACAGAGAACAAGTGTGTAAAGTTTCAATCTATTCCCTTCAGTAGTTATGGAGATACCAGCTTGCACGCAAAAACTAAACCACAGGGACGCCGACAAATGGATGACTGCATTAGCTTGATTATTCTGCGATTAGTCGAGCTGAAAACTAAATCCTAAACTGATATCACAAAGGTCATATTTGTATCTGAAATAGTGCATGTGTAAAATTATTACTGGTTGCTACTGCTAAGGGAAAACAACACTTCCAAAAGATGTGCACATATAAGGAAAATCAATGACCCAACAAAGGCAGGGCCTTTATTTAAACAAACGTGGTAAACACTCACTAGAAGATGTTTCATGCTAAACATCTAAGCTCTACCTCTAAGTGTTTTTTAAAAGAAGATTTTTAAGCTTTTACAATATACATATAAGGAAAATAAATAACCCCCTTGGGTGGGGCCCATTTTGATCCCAGGGCTTTTATTTGAACAAACTTGTTTGACACCCATTTGAAGATTTTTCATGCTTAATATCTAAGCTCAAGCTCCTTGGGTTTTTTAAATGAAGATTTTTCAACTTTTTACTATATGCATATAAGGAAAATCAATGACTGCCCCAAACAGGGCCAATTTTGACCCTAGAGCTTTAGTTTGAACAAGGCAGTCTGAAGGACAACTAAATCCCCTTCCGCAGTGAACTTGAATGTGTACTTCTTGAACTTTTACCAACCATGACCTTGATGTTGTGTCATGCATATCATAAGCATATAATCTCACGATAGATGTTTTTACATTGGACCCTTGAGTGTGACCCTGACCTTCAGGGTTTTGACTTGATTATTTTGCTCTGCCAATGGTGTCATAATGGTGATTATTTCTGCCAAATTATCTTAAAAACATTGCAGCAGTTTAAATGTTAATGTAGACTTTCTAACATTTGATCTGTAAGTGTGACCTTGACCTTAGGGGAAGCAATTAAATTATTGCGCTCTGCCATAATCTCATAATGGTGATCACTTCTGCCAAGCTATTTAAAATTTTTTTCAGAGGTTTAAAAGTTAAGGAGACAATAAAAGTTATGGTCTACAATGTAGACTTTTATACATTTGACCTTTAAGTGTCACCTTGACCTTGGGGGTAGCAACCCAATTATTGCACTCTGCATATGTTCTGATAATGGTAATCAATTGGGCCAAGTTATTTTTCTAAAATTTCAGCACTTAAAAAGTTATGGAGCGGACACAAAATGTAGCCTATGAGCATTTTACCTTTAAGTGTGACCTTGACTTGTGGGGTAGCAACCCAATTATTGCAATGTGCATGTTGTCTCATAATGGTGATCAGTGCCAAGTTATTTCAAACATTTTTCAGCGGTTAAAGTTATGAAGCGGAAACAAAATGTAGACTTTTTATTATGAAATGAACACTTTTTAACATTTGACCTTTAAGTGTGACCTTGACCTTGGGGGTAGCAACTAAATTATTGTGTTCTGCTTATCGTCTCATTATGCTAATCACTTGTGCAAAGTTATTTTTAAAAAAAATTTCAGCTGTTTAAAAGTTATGGAGAGGACACGAAAGTGTTACCGACAGACAGACGGATGGACAGATGGAGGCCATTCCTTTAATCCCCTTTCTGCTACACGGAAGGGGATTAACAAACTTGGTAGACACCAATTAGAATATTTTTCATGCTTAATAATCTAAGCTCTGGCAATTTGGGTTTTTTAAAAGAAGAATTTTTTAGTTTTTACTATATACATACATTAAAGTCTCCCTCCTTTGGGATCCTGGTAAAAGTGTTCTTATCATCGAGTCGGTTTTAATTTGGAGACCCATGCTAAATTTTACTATAATATGCAATCTGTAATAGGACCTTATCATTAGCGATTGGGATCATTGAAACATAACTGTTTGAGTAACATAAACCATTTAGCATGAATTTTATTCAACAAAAAGATGATTTATTTATTGAAATGATCACATTTATCCATCACTTTATACATCTAAATAAGCATAAAATTTATACGAAAATACATTATTTATTTTCAACAGTTTTCACAATAGAATTTCATTTAAATCATTGTTCAGTTGTTGAGTTCTTCCACTGGTGATCTCTTGCATAACCATTTTTGTTGGATGCATTATTCCCCCCACATCTTAATACTCATCTTTTTGTTTCAGGATTATCCGAACCTAAAAGTAAAATAAATATATAAATACATATTTTAGTTTTAATAAAAAAAAATCGTATCTTCAATTGTTTCCCAACATAAATTTCTATTGCCATTACTTCATGAATAAATTTTATTTTTTGGCATGAATTATTTATTTTTCGTTTTCGATTATCAATTTTATTTCAAAAGACTTTATGAAAAATTGATATGAAATTCCAAAAAGCGGTAAAACTTCTGACTCTGAATTGCAAAACTAAATATCTATTTTTATTTAACATAGACGTAATAACTTACCTATCCGAAAGACATTCAAAGTGTGTGTTATTAACACATCGGTATTCTTTCTTTGATTTGTATTAAGCCAAAATAATTAATTGAAAGAAACATTAACACATTTAATCCCATTCCTTTAAATCACAAACCAGTAATCTTATGGATATAATCAGTTTAATTTCAAACTGTTAATTAATATTTTAAATGTCTCTTCCATGTACCACAAATCGTTCAAACCTTCATGGCGGTTGTTGTTAAGTGTTTTCATGTAAAATTGTTTGTTTATTGAAGACAATGGGTGACATGTACAATTTAGCGAACTTAGTGGTCCCTTTTGTATTGTTAAGTGAGAATTCGGACCTTTAAAAGCGGTTGTAATTCATATTAGTGGGTCGGTCGTAATTTTGGGTCTTACAACCATTAAATTATATAGGAGAAAAATTGTGACTGGAAAAAAGTGGTTGTAATATCTATTTGCCCACAATTTCGTGTCGGGCGCAAACAAGACTTTACTGTATAAAGAAAATCAACGAACCCGGGGCCGGGCTAATTTTGACCCCAGGGATTTTATTTGAATAAACTTGGTAGACACTCACTAGAAGATGTTTCATGCCAAATATCTAAGCTCTAGCTCTTTGGGTTTTTAAAAGAAAATTTTTTAAGTTTTTTCTTTTGGTTGCCATGGCAACCAGACTTCAGCATGGAATTAAATTCTTTACACAACTTTTAAAGGTGACCACCAAAAAAATATTCCTGTGGTTTTTGGATGAAATTGCCTTAGCAGTTTATAAGGAGATGTTTGTCCGTAAACTTTTACTTTAAAGTAAAAGTTTATGGACGGACCCCGGACGAGTTGTGATCTCAAAAGCTCACCTTGTCACTTTGAGACAGGTGAGCTAAAAAACATATATGTTCCATTTCATAGCTTAGACAAGTATTTCAAAGTTGTTCACTTTTCAAAGATAAATTAAATTATATGTAAAGCTATGACATATAGAATTATTTAACACAAAAAATAATCAGTGTGATACTGAACTTATCATGCATACTGGTCTTAACAAACAAATATTATAAACTTTATGTCTTATGGGAGAGCCATATTAAAGCCAAATAGATACAAATTACTAGTTTACTTACAATTGCTCATTGAATAACTAAGTTAATGGAATTATAAATCACATTTTAGTATACATGTAAAGTAACAATATACTGATTTACCATTTGAATCAAGCCTGACAGAATCAGCTGACATACTGACAGTAAGTGTTTTCCCTGCGTCTGTCTGTTTATTGCTGTCAATATCTATTAACATATCTACACTACCAGATAACGAGCCTGTCTCTCGCCTGAATCTATTGTCTCGTAACTGACTCAATATATCTGACAAACTGCATGCCTTATAAAACCTGTAGTTGATAACATTTACAACAATTATTATACATATGATAAGTTACAAATAATTCCAGACAACACAAAATTCGCCTTATTTGGACCTGTAGCTCCAAGACTTTAACCTTTGAGTGATGAAAACAAACATTACCATATAAGGCAATCTGAAGGACAGCTAAATCCCCTCCTGCAGTGAACATGAATGTGTACTTCTTGACCTTTAACCAACCATGAACTTGATGTTGTGTCATTATGGTGGTTATTTGTGCCAAATTATTTAAAATCTTCCATAAAGTCAAAAAGTTATGGAGAACATATAACCTTGACCTTGGGTGTAGCAACCTGGATGTTGAGCTCTGCAGATTGTGTCATGGTAGAGATCATTTGTGCCAAGTAATTTTAAAACCTTTGAATTGTCATTAAGTTATAGAGCGGACATGAAAAATAGATGTTTTTACATCGGACATTTGAGTGTGACCCTGACCTTGAGGGTTTTGACTTGATTATTGTAGTCTGACAATGGTGTCATAATGGTGATTATTTCTGCCAAGTTATTTTAAAAACATTGCAGCAGTTTAAATGTTATGAACAGACACGAATATAGGTTTTCTAACATTTGACCTTGACCTTGGGGTAGCAATTCAATTATTGGCTCTGCACATCGTCTCATAATGGTGATCACTTGTGCCAAGCTATTTAAAACTAGAAATGTGTCGTCACGCCACGGAACCCCAGCATGCAGCCAAAATTTAAGCTGTTACAATATTTAGTTCCAAATTTTTTTGCACAAACTATTTTTTTCATTTTAAGTTCAAAGCCTTTAAAACTTTTCAATGTAAACACAAACCATTTTATACAAAGTTCAAGGCACTGAAATGATTCAGTGTTAACCTTTTGTAAATTGCATACTGCATATTTGTAGCCAAAATAATGACTACATACATTTCCACAAAAGTATGAGGGCTAAAACTGAAAATTTTCCAACATTCAAGAGAGACAACTTTGTCCGAAATAATTGAACCACGACCAAATTCGAACTTGAACTGCTTATTCTTAAGATGTATCTATATGTCAAATTTGAGTCCAATGAGTACAACCATTGGGGAGATAATGAATGGAAACTAAAAATTTCTGATTTTTTTCAAAGTTCCAGAGGGATTACTCTGTCAGCTATCATCAACCCATGAGCAAATTCAAACTTGACCAGTGTATTCTTCTGACATATCTATATGTTAAATTTGAGTAGAATACGTACAACTATTGGGGAGATAATGAACAGAAACTGAAAATTTTCTTTTTTTCAAAGTGAAAGGGGCGGGGCATAACTCTGCTAAAAATTATTGAACCATGACCAGATTCGAACCTGACCTGTGCATTCCTTTGATGCATCCATACCTCAAGTTTGAGTTAAATGTGTAATACCGTTGGGGAGATAATGAACGGAAACTGAAAATGTCACCAAGGGGCAAAAATTTCACCAAGGGCCAAAAATCATCAGACCATGTTCAAATTCCAACTTGACCTGTATTTTTTCGTGATATATCCATATGTCAAATTTGAGATGAATGTGTGCAACCGTTACTAAGATAATGAACGAAAACTGATGATGACGGAATGACGGAACAGGGTAACACTATATGCCCCAGCCATTTTATGGCAGGGGCATAAAAATTTCAGAGGTTAAAAGTTATGGAAGGGACATGCAATGTAGACTTGACCTTTAAGTGTGACTTTGACCTTGGGGGTAGCAACCCAATGTATGCGCTCTGCACATTGGTTTAAATGTAATGGAGCGGACATGAAATATAGATTTTTTATTATGAAATGAAAACTTTTTAACATTTGCCCTTTAAGTATGACCTTGACCTTGGGGTTAGCAACCCAATTATTGCACTCTGCACATTGTCTCATTATGGTGATCACTTTTGCCAGGTTATTTTAAAAAAATTTCAGCGTTTTTAATGTTATGGAGCGGATACAAAAAAGTTACGGACAGACGGAGGCCATGCCGATAATCCCCTTTCTGCTACTGGGAAGGGGATTAAAAATTTAAAACCCTACAGTGACGATGTATTGTTTAGGCCTATGTCTTGCTGGAGATAGCTCAAGGACTTGTGCCAAGTTATATTAGAACAAGATATGTTTGTAAAACATGTATGCCCCCTACATTAGCCAATTAGTCAGGTGGTCAGGTCATTATCACTGTCTTTTGACCTAGTGACCAAAACATCAATAGTAATTATCTACTGGTCATGACTAGTCACTAGGGAATTGTGTCCAGCAATTTTATGACAAAGTTATCACAAATCTTACCACATAATGTATGCATAAATTTTATGAATGATGTAGGCCTCCTTAATGACAGCCAATTTGTTGTTACATAAGACCTTGAAATGTGTGTAAGCAAAGCATTTTTAGTTTAATAAAAAATATCAACCAAGGCAACTTAGTTCTTGAGTTATTGGTCACGAACAAGGAAGGTCAATGTGACCTTGACCTTTGACCCCTTGACCCAAAAATCTTTTGGTCATGACCAATTATCATAACAAGTTTGAAGTTCCTAGGCCTAAGCTTTCTTTATTGATCGAAAACTGTTATTACCTACAAGGTCAATGTGATCTTGACCTTTTACAACTTGACCCCAAAATCAATAGGGGTCATCTACTGGTCATGAGCAATCAATAAACCAAGTTTGAAGTTCCTAGACCTAAGCGTTCTTTAGTTATTGATCAGAAACCGTTTTTACCTACAAGGTCAATGTGGCCTTGACCTTTGACCCCAAAATAAATAGGGGTCATCTTCTGGTCATTACCAATCATCAAACCAAGTTTGAAGTTCCTAGGCCTAAGCGTTCTTTAGTTATTGATCGGAAACCGTTTTTACCTACAAGGTCAATGTGACCTTGACCTTTGACCCCAAAATCTATAGGGGGTTATCTACTGGTTATGACCCATCATCATACCAAGTTTGAAGGTCCTAGGCCTAAGCATTCTTTAGTTATTGATCACAAACAGTTTTTACATACAAGGTCAATGTGACCTTGAGCTTTGACCCCTTGACCCAAAAATCAATAGAGGTCATCTACTGGTCATGAGCAATCATCAAACCAAATTTAAAGTTCCTAGGCTTAAGCTTTCTTAAGTTATTGATCAGAAACCTTTTTAACCAACAAGGTCAATGTGACCTTGACCTTTGACCCCTTAACCCCAAAATCTATAGGTGTCATCTACTGGTCATGACCCATCATCATACCAAGTTTGAAGTTCCTAGGCCTAAGCATTCTTTAGTTATTGATCACAAACAGTTTTTACATACAAGGTCAATGTGACCTTGAGCTTTGACCCCTTGAACCAAAAATCAATAGAGGTCATCTACTGGTCATGAGCAATCATCAAACCAAATTTAAAGTTCCTAGGCTTAAGGGATCTTTAGTTATTGATGGAGACAATTTGGTCTATGGACCGACGGACCTACAGACAAAATTTTAATGCAAAGCAATATAACCTCCACTTCTTTGAAGGGGACATAACTACTAATTGCATTATTAACATATATCAAGAAAAGTAGAACTAAACCCATTGCTTCATATACACACCATTTCAAGCCATATATAGGCGATAGATATAAACGCCTTTTCTCACCGTTGTAGGTAGCTTCATATACACTCTGTATTACCCCTTACATGAATTCTCTGTTACGCCTTTCAACACCACCAGTTTAAAACACAAATTTCTATTTCATTATTCATATCAATGACACCGGAAGACTGATATTGTAAACATTAAATATACAAGGTCATTTCTGTTTTCTGAAAATGGGGTGACTAAAAATATTTTCGGGAAAATCTATTTAGAAATATATGCCGACCTCTAATATATAATATTCAACAGCAACTAGCAACTGGAGGAAAGTAACAGTCCTTGGTCATTTTTACTTTGTTTTGTTAAGAAACCTGACGGAAGTACTATGGCATGTATTCATTACAGAATACTAAATGATATTACTGTAAAAGATCCTTACCCATTACCAAAATCGATGAATGTTTGCTCTGTGTACTTTAGCACCTGTGAGGTTGCTAGTGGATTTTGGCAAATTGAAGTTGATGAAAGGAAAGGTCCAAAACGGCATTTTGTACAAGAAAAAATGGACTCTATGAATATGTTACTTTACCCATGGGACTTTGTAACTCACCATCAACCTTTCAGCAAGTGATGGAAGTAGTGTTTCGTGGACTCCAGTGGAAAACATTATCAATTTATCTTGATGATATAACTAGTTTTGCCAAAAGTTTCAAGGAACATGTTTGCAGGTTGAAAGATATTTTTTGGAAAGTTAAAGCAAGCTAACCTAAAACTGAAACCCAAGAAAAGCAACCTCTTTAGGAAATCAGTTGAATTTCTAGGATTTTACTGTAAGTGGTGATGGAGAAAGTCCAACTGGTAATAAAGTAGAGTGCATAAAGAATTGGTCTAAGCCTAAAAATTTAACAGAAGTTAGGAGATTTGTTCAATTCTGCTCCTACTACAGAATATTTATAAGGGCATTTTCAATGTGAGCTGCACCAATGAATAGACTGATGGGGGCCCATCAGGTATTTCATTGGGGCGATGAGCAACAAAGATAATTTGAGGACTTAAAATCAGTTCTTTGCGGTAATGAAGTGTTAGCCTATCAAAATAATCTATTAGTGGATTTATTGTTTGTTTTTATGTACAAATGTTTGTTTGTTTTTTGGGTTTTACATCATATCGACACAGTATAGGTCATATCGCGACGTTCCAGCTTTACTGGTGGAGGAAGACCTCAGGTGCCCTTCCGTGCATTATTTCAGGCACAAACAGGCACCTGAGTAGAACCACTGATGTTCCGTAAGCTAGCTGGACAGCTTCCTCACATGAAAGAATCCAAAGTCCCTGTCAAAATTCGAACCCACAGCGGTGAGGGGCAATGTATAAATGTGTTGTTCGAACTTTACTTGAGACATTGTCTACAGAATAATGATTGTTTGATTTTAAAC